TATGTGACGGGTTAATTGACTCAGACGTACAAGGTGTAGTTTGTAAATGTGCATTTTGAAATATTTCTAAAAATATTTTTTGGGCTTTTATTGCCTTTATTATAGTTGACAGCTGAAGACAGACAGGAAAGCGGGATAGAGAGAGAGGATGACACGCAGCAAAGGGGGTAGGTCGGATTAGAACCCTTGGGCTGCTGCAGCAAGGACTCAGCCTCGGTACATGGGTCACAAGCTCTACCCACTGAGCTAACCGGGCGCCCATATTTCTATTTTTTAAAACAACATTTTTACTTTTCCAGGTGAATCACTCAATGCGCACCAACTTACATCCACTGCAGCCATGGGTGATCCTGAAATCCAGTGGAGAAGTGGAGAGCACTCACTGCGACTGTATGGCAGGAATTGCTGAGAAGTGTCTTCATGTTGCAGCGCTGCTTTACAAAATCGACACAGCAGTACAACTTCGAGGGCATCTGACACCAACTCATGTCTCAGCATACTGGGTGGAGCCTTCAAATGTGAAGAAAGTGAACGGAGCACCAGGTCACACCATTGTCTGCAGCACAGGTGCAGCTCATAAGAAGGCACTTGACCGGGCCACCAGCGGACACTCCAGCACAACACGCGGGATAAGGACCCGTGCTGCCGGCATAGAGATACCAAGCGCACACTTGGTGACCTAACTGCACTCATTAATGTAATGCATGATCAAAGGTCTGTTCTCTGTACTGTACTGCCTGAATTCAGCCATTTATATAAAAATCCTGTGTCCCGTGTATTCTGCCCAAGTCGTTACTATGCCTCCGCAATCCAGAAATGGATGGTGAATTGTCAGTTCTGCTGCAGCACTGTGAAAGCCTGAGACCCCTGGTTGCAGTGACTGAGACACAAGCGACCTCGTTGGAAAGGCAAACCAGAGAGCAACATAAATCTGCCCTTTGGCGCACAGCACGAGCCGGTAGGATAACCGCATCAAATATCCATTCAGTGGTGTCAACTCCTCTATCCAGTCCAGCTCTGTCTACCGTGAAGAAGGTGTGTTATCCTCATAAACCATCTTACACAGGAAACAGAAAACAAGACGATGAACAGCTGACTCCAATGGAATGGGGAAGAGCCAAAGAAGACACAGCAAGAGAGTTGTACCGCAGAAAGCAGGAGTTGCAGTACGAGGATCTGAAAGTGGAGAAATGTGGTTTCATTGTGAATCCATCCTTCCCTGAACTGGGAGCATCCCCTGACGCTCTTGTTGACTGTGTCTGTTGTGGGAAGGGCTGTGTGGAAATCAAATGCCCTCACAAGCATCGCGACCACACCATCTCCCAGGCCTGTGCAGATAAGGACTTTTGTCTTGAGTTCACTAGTGGCAAGTTGCAGTTGAAGAACACACGTGTACTACAAGCAAGTGCAAACACAGATCTTTGTGGCCGGTGCACAGTGCTGTGACTTTGTTATTTGGACGAAGAAATTGTGCAGGTCACACCTGATGCGGAATTCTGGGAGACAACACTTTTGCCAAAGGCACAGACCTTCTTTTACAAGGTTGTTCTACCCGAGCTGGTCGCCTGCCATTACACCCAGCAAGCCTCCACACCAGCACTACAACCTCTTGCTGAGTCACAACTTCAGGCACAACCTGTCCACGCACACCAGCCAAAGAAACGTCTCTGTAACCAGTTTGTTGCAATTTTCCTTCCTGTGGTACTCTGGGGTAGGCTGGGCATAATCTCTGACAGTAGAGCCATAAATAGAGCTAAAGATGGAAGCCCAGTGTACAACCTTACTCTATCATCATCATCTTTCAAGGAATTCTCATCCACGTTCCTTCCCGAGAGCTCTTCCTTCAGTCTCCTATTCTCGTCCAACAAGCAGTTTATCTCTGCCACAGGTGTGGGTGGTCCATCCACTTGGGCTGCAGCTGTGTCTTGGGCTTGCTGCCTCTTAACCCTGCTGCGTCGTCGACCACACCTGTCAAGGTTTGAAGCCTTGACTTCTATATGGCCCAGGTGTAATGTAGGTGCCCAGTCCGCATCACACTCGAGCATTTAATAGGCTGGTTTGCCTGAAAACACACACAACATTTGCGCTAGTTGTGAATGTGACATTTATTGTGCATTACATATTCAGTGGTGCTTGGTGGCAGCATTACATTTCCCTGCCATCGGCTATGTTAGAGTAACGTTAGCCAGCTAAACCTAAATCATTATAACGATAGCCACATACCTTGGTGAAAACGTCTTGAGCACACTTTCATATGTGCCGGGATCTTACTTTCAAATTTGAATTCTGGTCTTCGGACTGCTGCTTTCCAAGCCATTCTTCGTCTTCTTGTAATATCACGCACCCGGGGCAGCACATCATCTCGCTTCCACGACGGAAGACTGTAAAACCCGATTCCCTCGATGATGGGAACAGCTATGACAGCCGATCACCGCTAGCTTTAAAAATGATAAATGTAAAATACTTCGTAGCTCTCCGTATGTATCCAACCTCGACCAAACGCAATGAAATTTGCGTTGTCGCCAAGTGTCGCTAATCCCCAAAGCCGCACAACCCCATAATGCATGGCGCCGCATTAGGCTGTTTACATCACGGGCGCAAACTCAATATAACATATATATATAATATATAATATAACAATATAACATATATAACATATATATAACATATATAATATAACAATATAACAATATATATAATATAACAATATAACATATATATAATATAACATATATAATATAACATATATATAATATAACAATATAACATATATATAACATATACTATATAACAATATAACATATATAACATATATATAATATAACATATAACATATATATATGTTATATTATATATATGTTATATGTTATATATATAATATAAAATATAACCCAGTGAGTATATAGAGTCATATAGACGAACTCTGTAACACTCAGTGTTGTTTTCATAGTGTACAGCCCGAGCTAACAGCTAACTAAAGCTAACTAAACAATACATTTAATAAATGTTCATTACGGGTTAGCTAACTAGCTAACCTACCATAGCATGCTAACGTACTGGAGTTAAGGTAGCTAACAGCTGTAATAAGTTAACGATAAGAACTATTTACTCTCTTTATGGTCTAAAATTAATTCATCAGCACAAACAGAGTTCACTGAAAGACCGTTAGCTAACAGCTAGCTCGTCACAAAGCGTCCTGAGTTTGTCGGAGTCAAACTTTCCTGAACTTTCCTGTAATAAAACACGACTTCCTCCCGTCCGCGTCCTTTCTTCCTCTTCGCAAACTGCCGATCGACGGTTTATTTGTCGGTTCGTTTCGCGCCGTTTTTCTTCCATCGAACGTTCGAGAGGACGAGCAGACTCACAGTGCGCCTGCGCGGACTCACAGTGCGCCTGCGCGGACCGCGCGGTAACGGCTGTGTGTGAGAGGAGAGTGGAGCCTCCCAGGTAGACTTTATGAAGACTGCATGTTATCAAATGTACCTGAACACTACTGAGCATCAATTCAACAACACATCCAAACTACATTTATATCATCACTGACTTATTATGGCCGCCTGAAACAATCAATATTTAATAGTACGTAGTATTTCAACTTTATCCTCATCAGTTTTACTTTTTAATCTCATAACTTTCGATTTTTTATCTGAGAATTATGACTTACAGTGGGGATATTTTTATCATCAGGCAAAGTTTTCATGTTGTTTTTTATTGTACTGGCTGTTGTTTGACAGTCTTACAGCAGCACACATTCATTTTCATCAGAATCAGGTTTTCACATACAAAGAATCTGATCAGTTGGTGCTTAACAATTAAACATAGAAAAATACAAATAAAGATAAAAATAGAGAAAGCAGCCGATATATGGAAATATAAAAAGGGAGAGAATATGTACAATATGGCCGGATATTTCAATAAATGAGTAAAGAGCTGAACAGTGGGACATATAATGATATTTGCAATGTGCAAAGGTTCCTGCATCTACAGCTCACTGAAGGACAAACACACTGGGCCGATGTTTCTGTACTGATGTTATTCTGTGTATGATGCACTCAGTGATCTGTAACAAGGACAATAATCTATATGGAGAAAACACATCTGTATTATTAAAGCTTTTTCACTATATTCTTTTCACACTTCAGTGACTGTATGATTATTATCTGACTTTATAACAGATTACATTTAATATCCAAACCCTACAATGAGTTCATGAAACATAATTCACTGCTAAAGTTGCCGTAATAAAACAGATATTAATATGACACTGATGGCTCATTCTGCAGCATAATGATACTTTTACTTTAACTGCATGTTACTTATGATTCTTCTGTAGTTTTAATTCAGATTTTAAAAGCAGGACCTTTATTTGTAGTTGATTACTGTCACATTGAGGTATTGATATTCTACTGATTTATTAGCTACATTATTTGGCTCCAACCTATAATTTTGTGCAGTTATGATTCAGCTTAATAAGGATAAAGACCACAACACCAAATTCATACTCTTTAAACTGTAAACGTGTGTTTGAAACTTACATTAACAGAGAAATATAACTAATAATAAAAAGTGTATGTCTAACTGAGTGAGGAGATTTCCAGCTACCATCTTTGCAAACAGACTGAATCTTTTGTATTGTGCAGCAGATAGATTTTATTTTTTGATCCTGACAGAAGAAGATTCAGAACAGTGATAAAGGAATTAACCAGATATATATATATAGTTATTCTATAATTATTTATGTTCATGTTTACTAACATATCAGGAAAGATATATTTAGTCCTAAAAGCAGTTCAATCAGTTTTGTCCTTTAGTGCAGTGGACAGTGACACCAGGACCTTTTTGTACCAATGACTCTTTTATTTTTATGCTATACAATTTAAAATAAAAACAAGAATTGTAACATGTCTTTTTTTGTAGGAAATCACAAAAAAAGAGAAAATGATTGACACTTCATTTGCTTTGTTCCCAGGAAGTCCTGATTGATCCTGACCATTATTTTGAAAAGCGGGCCCGGAAGTGTAGCTTGACGCTAACAGGTGAGAAAATGTCGGCTCCTGTCAGACTGTTGACGAGCCGTTTCCCGGCTCTCTGCCCGGCGGGGTTCACTCCGGAGCCACGGAGGAATCCCCCGGTGAGGGGTCCGGTCGGCGGACGGTGGCTGTCTCACACACAGACAGGTACGGAGCTAAAGCTAGCTGGCTAATGTTAGCCTAACAGTCCCGACGTTTCTTCACAGGATGGAGAAGTCACGTCCCGCCCCCTACTCTGCCTCTGATTGGCTCCCGCTAACATTGTCACGCTACTCCTGACCAATCACACCAACGAAGCGAGGAGAAATAACCAATCAGAGGCAGAGCTGGGCGGGTCATGACTTCTCAATCCTGGGGGGAAGTAAAGGTTGTCGGTGCGATTAGTCTCCTAATCGATAAATAAACATCCTCACGTGACAAAATCAGTGTGATCGGCACTGAAAGAGGAGTTGAAACGGTGTTAAATGTGTCTGCGGCTCCAGCACTCACATGAATGGATGCATGAAGTTTAATTATCTTTCTTGGTCAAAGTCGAACTAATTGAGTTTGATGAGTTAATCATTTATAGAGACAGCAGATATTCACAGCTCATAACTCTCTTTGTGTCTTATTGAAATATAGAAATATAAATTATATTAATGAACGAAAAACATTTATTTCATGGTAATGGTTCCAACCAGCTTTCAGTCAGACGCAGTGGAAGAATCTAACTATTCCCCAGAGGGTTTCATTCAGTAAAGTTTATGACATTATTGGTTGAAATCAATTCAATTGGATTTTGATATTAAAATACAAAGAAATTGAGTTTTTGTTGAATAGGGGAACATTGTTACTGAGGATGTGATGTTAAAGAGTTTTTAAAGAGAAAAATAAATAAATCCAAAGCAAAATCAGTTGAAATTGAACCTGTGTCTGTTTATGGTACGAGCTTTATCTGAAATATCAAAGTTCATCTGATTCACCATCTAAGTTTAATGTCAACAGGAGCAAACCTGCGACCACTGGAGGGTGTCAGAGTGTTAGACTTGACAAGGTACGAGTCCGTCTGCAGCAATGTCTTCATGTGGTTTCTTTGAACCCGTCTGATGTTTGATTTTAAATGAAATACATTCAAATGTCTGCAGAGTGCTGGCCGGTCCCTTCGCCACCATGATCCTGGGAGATCTTGGAGCTGAGGTGATCAAAGTGGAGAGACCAGGTGAGTCTTTACCTTTCGTTCTACCTCGCTGTGTCCTTCTGCCTGAGTGAGAGTCATGAGGGTTGTGGTTTTGTTAAACAGGTGCAGGCGATGACACCAGAGCCTGGGGTCCTCCGTTCGTCGGCACTGAGAGCGTCTATTTCCTGAGCGTCAACCGAAACAAAAAGGTAAGTGCAGAACAAAACAAATGTCTGTGTTTAACTTGTGAACACTTCTTGGTGTTAGACATCAAGTACATAAATAAAAGCGGTGAATATGAAATATATATATTTAGAAAGGTGTAGAAGAACCCAGCAGTCAGTTTGTTACATTAAGTGTTAATATTGAGCCTCTGATGATGGATTGTATGATTTCAGAGTATTTCAGTGGACCTCAAACATCCCAGAGGAGCCAACGTCATCCAGGAGGTACGACTCGTTCACAGCTTGTCCAGTGGTGGAGTTTGACGATATTGATACACCCGAGTTTCAGTATACTTTAAATATGAACATACTGTTTGTGTGTGTGTGTGTGTGTGTGTGTGTGTGTTTCTCAGCTTGCAGCAGTGTGTGACGTGTTGGTAGAAAACTACCTTCCAGGGAAACTTCAGCAGATGGGTTTAGGATACGAACAACTGAGCAGAGTGAACCCACAACTCATCTACTGCTCCATATCAGGTACTCACTGACTCACTGACTGACTGACTGACTGACTGACTCACTGACTCACTCACTGACTCACTCACTGACTCACTCACTGACTCACTCACTGACTGACTCGCTGACTGACTCACTGACTGACTGACTGACTCACTGACTGACTGACTGACTCGCTGACTGACTGACTGACTCGCTGACTGACTGACTGACTTGCTGACTGACTTGCTGACTGACTCCCTGACTGACTGACTGACTCACTGACTGACTGACTGACTGACTCACTGACTGACTGACTGACTCACTGACTCACTGACTGACTCACTGACTGACTGACTCACTGACTAACTGACTCGCTGACTGACTGACTGACTCCCTGACTGACTGACTGACTGACTCGCTGACTGACTGACTGACTGACTTGATGACTGACTGACTGACTCGCTGACTGACTGACTGACTGACTCGCTGACTGACTCGCTGACTGACTGACTGACTTGCTGACTGACTGACTGACTTGCTGACTGACTTGCTGACTGACTCCCTGACTGACTGACTGACTCACTGACTGACTGACTGACTCACTGACTGACTGACTGACTCACTGACTCACTGACTGACTCACTGACTGACTGACTCGCTGACTGACTGACTGACTGACTGACTGACTCGCTGACTGACTGACTGACTGACTTGATGACTGACTGACTGACTCGCTGACTGACTGACTGACTGACTCGCTGACTGACTCGCTGACTGACTCACTGACTGACTGACTCACTGACTGACTGACTGACTGACTGACTCACTGACTGACTGACTGACTGACTGACTCACTGACTCACTGACTGACTGACTCGCTGACTGACTGACTCACTGACTGACTGACTCGCTGACTGACTCACTGACTCACTGACTGACAAAGCTGACTCTTTTACAGGTTTGAGATGTTTCTGTCTCTGTAACCGGTGAGTTTCTAGCGTTCTGCGTTGTGTTTTGATGAAGAGGTCCAGACGAGGATATCTTCCTCCAGTCAAACGTTATCAACGTGAGCTCCGACACAAATTAACTGACACAGAAATATGTTAGCATACTACACAATAAATTTAAGCTAGCAAGTAAACTTATAAGTGTAGTTTAACAGAGGCTAACACAAGGACATTTCTGTGACCACAGTGTCGCTCACCTCTCCCAAGTACAACAGCAAAAGGGGAGAGGCAAAAGCGTGAGACACATTTATAGGGGGGACCCACGAAAGTGAACGTCGGGGGACAGAAACTGAGTCTCAGACGTTCCACATCTTGACTCAGGAGGACATGTCAGGTTATAACTATTAAAACAGATTTTGTGTAATTATAATACTACATATTACTAGATTAGATTAGATGGATACTTTATTCATCCCTAAGGGGAAATTCACGGTTTCCAGCAGTATCCACAAACTGATAATAATAATAATATTAATAAGAGAAGGTCAAATTAAGAAGAACTAATAGAATAAAGTAGAATAAATAGCTAAATAACGAGCATTGGGTAAGTGTCTAATTATATAATAATACTGTTGTATATTTGACTCTGTTACATCTCTACGCTCCCAGCTGTTTGTCACTGAATTGTGTTCTCAGTTGTGTGTAAGACTCGTTTAAAGGCCCATTAGAGGTGGTTGACTCATGTACGTCACTGTACGGGTGTTCACAGGAGAGAAAGACAGTAACAGACTTAGTCGGCGACTAAAACAACTTTAATGTTAACCCAACAGTGATTCATGTTTCTCTTATGAGGCTTTATTTATTGAAGGTTATATGTATGGAATTCACCACTGGATGTAACACTAGAATCAAACTCCATTGAAAGAATCTGCAAGTTTTGTGCCGTATATCATTGTAACCACGTAACTTCATCCAAAGTGGACAGAAACTGAATTGAACTCACCAAAAAATGTGTTAGTCTTTCCAACAATCACCAACTCTGGTTTGGTGGAATTAAATCCTTAATTCACCGAGTTTGATGTTTTAGTTTAACAGCCGTAATATCTACATATATAACTTCAAATATCTGACCTTTAAAGGTGTCACATCAGTGTCAATATATTAATGATAGAAGGGCTGTATTTGATTTCTTCCTGGTGAACAGACTTTGTACTTGCACTGTTTCATTTATTTGATCCAGTCTTACTTCGTCTCCACAGTGTTTTTGGCCCAAGACTAATTGATTTGGGGGTCATGAGAACACAACGTGGGCCTATCTGTCTTACCCACAGTCCTGCAGTTCTCAGGCTGAGCCACTAGATGTCGTTGGACTCCACGGTAAAGACAGACTCTCTAAAGCGCTCATGTTTTCCCTTCAGAGAACAAACTGCTGTTTCCTGCTGCTTCACACACTTAATAACAGCCAGCGGTGACACACAGCACATTGGATTTATTGAGGCTTCGACAGCAGGGGCTGCTGCCCAGAAACACACTTTCACCAGCTTTGTACTGTGGGGACTCTAGGATCTGTAGTGTAGTGTGTCCTCCGTGTTTTCATGGGGTTTGTTCTCTGCTGGTTTATACATTTTACATTGAAATTATCATTATTTTAAATTAATTATAGTAGATCAATCTGTGAAAATATTCCAATCAAATCACTCCTGTAGGCTGTAATTCCTCGCTTTAGTTATTAAGTCTGTTTTTATGTTTTTTTTTTATTGATTAAAATATGTTATATTATTTGTATTCCTGACTAATTATCATGAATAATGGATTGTTGATATAATTCGGCCTGTTTGAACCCAGAGGACAGATCTAAAACATTGTTTGTAAGTTCCTACAGCTTAATGATCTGCTGAGAAGATGTTTAAAACGACTGTAACATACCTGTCACCCGGACGTAATGGTTCATGCATTCTGTTAACAGCCCGGATAGTCAGAATAAGTGGCTGTGTGACCACACCCACTCCCAACTCCCCTCTCCCCTCTCATAAAATTCACCCATTATTATCTGGTCTCCCAAGTTTTTTTGTATTTGGTTGCTTGAAAAAAATATTTAGATAACATTTATAATCATATCTAAAAACAAAATCACTGTATCTACAGCACTGACCTTTGCCATGTATATACAGCACTGACATCTGCCCTGTATCTACAGCACTGATCTCTACCCCATATCTACGGCACTGAGCTTTGACCTATTTGAAGACAATAATATCATTATTGTTACTGTTATTTGAATCAAACAAAGAGTACAGCCCTCTGACCTGTATACAGCACTGACCTCTGCCCTGTATACAGCACTGACCTCTGCCCTGTATCTGTCTTGTCCTCTGTAACTTAGTATTACTATAGAGCTACTGTCAGCATTGGAGAATTATGGCTCATAGTTCGTTCACCAATTACTGACAAATAATAAGTGATACCTAAACACAAACCTATAAGACTTGTTCGGCTTCATCTAAATATGCTATGTACTGATTTTGGTGAAGATTAGATTAAATATGTGCCAAAGGTAGCAAATACATTAGGCAAACCTTTGTCACAGTTCAGTGGATGTGCTGAATGAAATTCAGCTCTGTAGGAGGTATGGGAATATGAAACGCTTGATAACGGACCACATGGTGGCTCTATTGAACACATGCCTATTATTATGTTTAGCACATCTCCATGGGTCACCTGGTTTGCTGACTTTAGCATTTTTTTAATTGTAGATTTTCATGTGTATATGCGACTCCCATTGACAGGCCATTAAAAACAATGACAGCAAAATATTCACATTGCAATAACTGTAACAGATATCAAAAAGAAAGGTTCACCAACAGGCTTTATATGTGAAAAAAAATTTAATTATGTGTATCTGCAAAAATGTGGGAGTTGTAACAGTCCAAAAAATGTATGGAAGAAGAAAAAGAGTTACAGCAATCACACAATAAAAAAATAATATGTAAAGGAGGATGAGACAATATCACCAAACTGAACCTATAAAGAAAATAATGAATCATTAAACGTGTGTTTTTAAGCTCACACAGTCTTTCTTACTCTTAATACTCACTCACTCACTCACTTTCTCTTTTTTACGTTCAGTCATTTTCTCTCTTTGTCCTTATACCTTTCCTCACTTTTCCCCTTGTCTTTTAACTGCCCCCCACTTTTTTTCCTCTGTTCAAGCTTTATCACTCCCACATTTTTTGTTTTCCATTCCCTCCTCCTCATCCTCCTATGTTAGGAAAAAAACTACATTACCCAGGAGGCCTCATTAAGCTGCAGCAGCTGGATGCAGCGGGCAGATTTACAGCCTGGTTTCATCCTGAGCTGTCTGAAACAGACCAGGATGCTTCATGGATTAATGTCCTGATCCCCAGAAACTGTAATTCCTGTCAGTTTGTCACAAAAGGGAAAAAAAACGTTCTGAACGTACACTGTATAAATAAAAATGGCCGTGGTTTCTGTGAAGTCACCCACAGGTCGCCATCTTGGCAGTCCTGATTTCGCAAGCAAAGAGGTGGAGCTGAGGCTGAAGGAAACCTGGTTACTGAAAACAGCTCAATCCAAGCATCCCTTAATTATGCAAAACTTTTATCTTTAATATAATTTAAAGTGATGAGTTGTATAGTTGTCATGAACGGAGATGTTAGCTCTAGAGACCAAAAGGCTGTAAACATGTTTATTTCTGCTGTAAAGTTGGGCATTTAAATATGTGGCCTTATGGAGACTGACTCACTGCTGGAGCCAGACTCTAATGGCCGTTAGAGGAACCGCAGCTTTTGTTACTTCAGTGTTTGCTTCATTTGCAGCCACAGAGGTTGCCTTTCATTCTTGTAGTTTGGTTCATTTGGGGAAAATATGATACATTGCTGCGTTTTATTTCTGGTCAGGTTGCTGTTCACACTGCTGCTTTATTCAGTGTTTTCAGCGTTTTTTTAATCAGCGGGTCTGTTTGTGTTGGAGAGGAGGAGACCTCTGTGGATCATTGGGCTCCTGATATAAACCCCCTGAACCATGAACACTGAAGGAATCCTAACCAGGAGAAGCTGACTGCAATGACGCCAATGGTGGTGAAGACAACAACTCCCATGATCCCACACTGCTTCACCACCTCATCACACTTCCTAGTTTCTTATTGTTTGGATGTGAGAGACCCCCTAGTGGCAGAAATGACATACTGTGTGTTTAATAGGCTCAGTATTACGACTTCTGGCTGGTGGTTTGGAATTACAACAATGACTGTGTTGGACAGCTGTCATGGTCACAACTTTCTAATGTTATCAGACTTTAGACGGTTGCTCTCTGCATGAACATTCTTTGGCTGCATGTCCTGCTAATGCTCGCTCAGTTTAGCTTTACAGTTATAGTTGTACATGTTTAAATACCAACTTCATAGCAGTGATTTCACTCCATCTTTGGAGCTTTGGAGCAGTTTCTGTTTATATCTCAACATGTGATGCAGTAAACTGTCTGCAGAGTTCAATTCTGTGAATCTAGTTATTTTAAACGCATTTAAGGAAATGTTGTTTTTTTATGTGAAATGAACAGAGTCTGGACTCTTTAGGAAATCAATCTGGTTGTTTAGTCAGACCGGCAGACTCAACACACAGCTGGAATGTGGTTTTCCTGGAAGAGGCAACGCTGAAAGGACGACGCTTTGATTCCCTGCTGTGTTTCCTCTCAGGTCAGAGAGAAACCAGCCCACTGGCACAGAGGCAATAATGTGTGTGTGTGTGTGTGTGTTTGTGTGTGTTCAGGTTATGGACAGACAGGTCCTCAGTCTCAGAGTCCAGGCTACGACTCCATCGCCTCCGCTGTGTCAGGGATGATGCACATCACCGGGCCAGAGGTCAGACTCTATTCTTTGTTTTTTAACAAAATGTTGAGTTTTTCTAAAAACTTTAACAAGAAATATATTAAATCTTTTGGTGCGTACTTTGAATTATCCAGTATTGTAGAAATATAAACAGGCTCCACCAGGATCGATAAGAGTTAAAGGGATGGTTCAGGACTCACCTGATCCAGCCCTAACTATAAGCTTTATCAAAGAGGAATGTCTTAAGCCTACTCTTGAATGTGGAGAGGGTGTCTGCCTCCAGAACCGAGAATGTGGTGATAAGATACATATCACGATACAGGGGTTACGGGAAAAAATAAATAATATAAAGAACACACCATCATCTGCATTTTCATGTTTTTTCAACGTTTTCATGCAACCAAAACAGTGAGATCTCTGTTTGTATTTATCGCAGTCAACATCACAGCCCTCAGTTTACAACACTGCTGTCTATATGGAATTTCAGCTTCTTCCTTCTGGATGGAGGTTTATAGTCCCAAGATGTAAAACAGAAGTGAAAGTTTTGTTCCAGCAGTTATCATTCAGATTAGATTAGAATTTTTCTTGTTTTTACTGCATTTTTACCTTATTTATTCTTGTGGTTATTTATTTTAATCTTTGTAAGTCCTGATTTTTAGAGCCCGTAGCACTTTTATCTTTTACCTTTATCATACATGTTCATTCATGTTTGTTGTCTGAGCTGTTGTGTTATAATTATTTTTGTTAAGAGGTTTGCCTTTTAATGCAAACCAAGTCTACCTGTGGATAGAAATAAAGTAACCTTGAACCTTGATTTAACTGTTGGAGGTTTAAACACAAAAATATCACCAAACAAAATATCACAATACAATATTTGTTTTTTTAATATCCCTTACATCTCTAACGCCATGGCAGTTGACATAAAGCGATCTTTTCGAAGCTGAGTCATCAGTGTTACGGTTACAGAAAGATAGTAGTAAACTGTAGTCAATTTGGAGATCTGTGTGGTGAGAACAGTCCGGGGCACCAATAAAGCGAGCTAATGTGTCCCATAAACGCTGACCACCTACCTGACCCTGAGACTCTTCATCATGAACCTGCATTATTAAAAAAGGAATAAAACTGGAGTTAAATGCGTCTGATCTACCAGCAAGTGCTGTCCTGTATTGTTAAGAAAAACTCCTGGAAAATGTCCTGGAAAGGCCCTGAAAGATGATTTCTTAAAAAGAATGTGAACCCTGGATATTGTACTCGGCTACAAGCTCTCCAAATATTTTAATATTCTCATTCAGTCTCTCTTTAATTCATCAAATAACAGCGTGTTCGATTGTCATGAACTGCCCTGATCTCATTACTCCAGAGGATCCTTTAGGATTTAATGACTCTGTGAGCTTTCCTCTATAGCGCCACCTTCAGGACAACATGTACAGATAAAACTTTAAGTGTAGATGAATCTGAAATCTGGATGTTGTTTAAGACAATTTTTTCCTTCATGATTTTCACCATTTTTGGCAAGAATTTCTGATACATCTCTTATAGGTTTACCAGAAAGACTTGCCCAAACTGGCAACATCCCTTTTAACACAAGAAGACCGATCCTGAGAGGCCTGATAGAGGTATAGAAAAATAAGTATTCTATAACGGTGGAACTGAAACTAGTTTTGAATGTGGTGTCTTCAGTCCGATATGAAGGCAGTATTTCCACATTAGGTTTAGCCGGAGAGTACAAAAAGCAGTTCAGTTAATGCACATGAAACAGGGCTGTGGACTGTGGGACAGGACACAACAGGAAAAAATACAGTGCAGGCCTTTATTGAAACATCAAAACCCACACCCTTTCCTCCCATAATGCAATGCTTCCGCTGGCAGGATGGTGACCCAGTGCGTCCAGGCGTTGCCATGACAGATCTGGCGACGGGGCTGTACGCACACGGAGCTGTCATGGCCGCCCTATTGCAACGACACAAGACTGGGAGGGGAGTTCATATCGACTGCAACCTGCTGTCTTCACAGGTAACAGCTGTGTGTGTGTGTGTGTGTGTGTGTGTGTGTGTGTGTGTGTGTTCAACTGACTTTAGTTGCTGAAAATTCACACAAATGTCCTGAATCTTGTCTAATTAATCAGTCTAAGCAACGAATTGGATCTCAGTTCAGTCTAGAACTGAAGTTTTTCCTTAAGGGAGCCCTTTATTGTCACTGAGTCAACTGACTGTATTTAAGGTATATTTAATATTCTGTTGATCACTATCAATAACAGTAGACAACAGCTGATAAACTGAACAATGAACCTAAACTGTGAACACAATAACTGCAGGAAGTTTGTGAACAACCAGAGACTTGATTATTTCCTCGCTGATAGAAAAAGGGTCCCTTAAGGAGAAAGGTTGGGAACCAGAGCAGGAGAGTGAAGGCTCTGTCAGTATATTTTGTGTTCAGTTCTTAAGTTATTAAAGTTTAAATCTAAACTAAAAATTACTCTAAAAATATCATTTTCATTTAGTCTTTACAGAAATGAATGCTGACATAGGCCTACTGTGTTTATTTTAAAAGTATTCTTACACCTCTTAAAATCAAGAAGACCTGGAAACCCCCTGTGAAGCTTTGGTGACCCCTAGGATGGGGCCACTCATCCAGACATCATGAAACTTTTAAGACTGATCAGACTGTGACGATGTATAACGTTAAAATTATATTTATTTTGCTGTCTTAAATCTCTTGTTATTTCCAGGGAAGACCAAATTGGTTGGTATGAGTGGTTCTCTAAGGGTGTCTGCGACTTGTCAATTTTGGACACTATTTTTCCAAATTAATGGTCTGCCTCCAGATGCTGTTTTTCCACCAAATTAGCTCTGGTTCTTGAACCGGTTCAGTTCAGGAATCTTGGAACCTCTGTGTTATCTAGCGAACCAGGCGTTTCTACCAGTTTCGACAAAAGACCATTGTAATCACGGATGTGTCATCAGCAGAGGGCGCTGCACAACAATGGGTAGAACTCCAACGTTTTTCCAATCGCAGGTTGTTTCCATAACATCTCATCACATTAACTGATCATGCTTGACAAGATTATTTTGACAAAAAATAAGACTAATTTCTCAGAAAGGTTTTAGTATCACCTTAATAGGACATTACGGTGTTGTGTTCAGGCTCTGCTGGTAAATTATACTACTGACGCTGCCTGTCTGATTCTATTCATGTCAATGGGGTGTTTTTGATGGGAGAGATAAGCAGAAGTGTCACCGAGGCTTTGAGAGAGTGTGTGTGTGTGTGTGTGTATGTGAACGAATCCGGGAGACTTATTTAAACAAGTCTGAACAGTTTAAACAGAGTAATCAATATTTCTCTGAATGTTTTCCCCGTTTAAACAAATCAAACTATACGTAATCCTAAAACCGTCGGGGACACTGAGACAAATGTTGTTCTGGACTCTGAAGTATTTGAGACACCCAGGGTGTGTTTGATTTGTCGTGTCGGGGCATGCTGCTGATGTGACAGTGTTGCTTTTACAAATATGTTTTATATTTTCTTTATTTTTCAGTTCATTGGCTGCGAAACAAACTGGTTCAGCTCATTTCTAAACTTTATGTTCCTCACACAGAGAAACACACAGAGGAGGAGACTGAAGTGTTCTTGTACATATCTCTCTCTGACTTTGCCATGTTAGGGCTCATCATGGGGAAGAAGTTAGAAAACTACCTCACCTAACTATATCATTTTAATTATAGAGAAAATTGATTCAGTTAGTTTACTTTCAGTTTATTACTCGGGAAAGCTATAGGATTAGTGTAATAGGTAAGTTTACCTATGTACAATACGTTCATATTTATAACAGATAACACATGATTATTATTTTCCAGTCATTATGATTTTAGTTGCTCCAGGAAATTACAAGTACAGTAATAAAATCTAATAACAGATAGATAGATAGATAGATAGAGGCTGCAAGGTCTCAATCTCTGCGGTCGACTCCCAGGGCTGCTACACATAAAATACCCACAATCCACTTCTCCCCCCTCCCCATATCCCATGGTGCATTCCTGTACGAAGTGCTGCAACCACAGGCACGTCGACCGCAGAGCGCTCCGACCAGAGATGAACAATGAGAGCACACAGCCGCAGTGGATCTGAATCCATGTGGACGGGTTTAAGCTGAGTTTGGTTTGGTTGTCAGGGGAAATTTAATGGTTACAAACCAATCAGAGTTCACAGTTGTATCTCTACAAGCCGCCTGCAGGTCCTGAAACAGCTGTAAACATCAGGAGGAGCTCCACACCAAAGGCTGAAGAGTCATAAGTCTTAAGTTCAGCCCGAACCGTCTTCAGATTGTTGTGGTCGGTTAAGGAAATGGCTCAGTCCTGCAGAAAAATACCAACTTTTTCAAGATGAGAAACAATTTTAGGCTATTGCTATTGGGAAGGTTTAGACCCAGAAGAAGTTAGTTCTCATCCTTGAAATCTTAATATTAAAACAGAATGAAAATCTCACATTTCTGTAAGCTGTTAGTTCTTCAGTCACACGCTCACTCTGATAAACATTTTTCCCCTGACTATTTGAAGACGTTGATTGAATTTGAGATGTTGTTCAATGTGCAAATAATAGCATGTGTTCACTTTCACAGATCCCAAAAAAACCCATCAAAATAGCTCGAAAGGATTCCTAGTGTACTAGCGCAGGTATACAGAGTCGGCATTGGCTATACCCAATTCTAAATCCCCCTTCAGTTCACTGTAAAAAGAAAGAGTGGAAAACAGTAATATTTCAGCAGCTGGGAGCCAAAGAAACAGTAAAATAACTGAAAATAACAAACTCGTAAAAATACAGTCATTTAAGTAGTTTTTAGCTTTAATTTAGCATAAAATTGTGTTTAAATAAAGATATTTACACATGTAAAAACAATTAAATGACCTATCAATACAGGCAAACTCTGCTATAATACAAATAATCAGGCTTAAAAATAACTGTAATAAAAGTCATTATCTGTGAAATTACAGTAATTATTGCTGTTTACACTGATAACAACTGTATTTGGACAGTTTACCAATGCTTATACACTGATAAACAACATTCATTCAACTTCCATCATTATACAACATATCTGTGTGTTAACTAATACATTTAGTAAGTTACACAACTGATACTTTTTACTGTTAATGTCACTGATTTTACTTGATTTTTAAAAATGTAATAACAGTATTAAACCTAAATTTAACATTTTAATATATTATGTATTTTAATCTTTTTATGTTGAAAAAATGCCATTTTCTTTAAATAAGCAGTAATTGTATGATTATTTGCAGTTACAGATTTTTCATGTTATTTTACATTAAACACGTAAATTCACGGGTTATTTATCTAATTTTTTTTTTTTTATGTTTCCATGTATTTAAAGAAAAAATATGTAAAATAAATGGGATTTTTTCCCCCCCCTAGGATGGCGAAGGCATCACATAGTAAGGGATACTGAATGATGTAAAAGTCGAGGTTGGACTCGGACTGTGGATGCTTCTTCTCACCACATGAAAGAAGTTTTACAGATTGATCCTCTGGTTCTCTTGTAATTCCTCTTTTTGTTCTCGTGTTTGTGATGGTGATTCACGGTTGGAGTGGTTTAACATGTGGTTCCACCATCCTTCAGCCGGCCCAGCGCGAGACGAGGTCCTGCTGCGGTTTGAGAGTTAAATACTCAGTTTCTAATCAGAGCGGTGATTGACAGCACCACCCATCTTAGTGTCAGTCTGTCTCATCTCTGTCATGTCAACATCCTTTAAAGCGTTACGACCACCTCTGATCTTCTGCTGCTCCTCTTTCCCCTTCTAATCATACGTTTCCCTTTCTTCATCTTCCTCTGCTTTCTTCTTTCTTTGACATGGACTCAGAAACTGTTCAGAAATGAGCTTGAATATGACATGAAAGTATGTTCGTCCACCGCAGGCGTCTCCCGCTGTCGTGCCTGATGCTCATTTTCCTTCCCGGCCGGGCCGCTGTTCTCCAGTCTGATCATAGTTTATTGAAAAATGGAAACTCTCAGCCTTACCTGTCACCTGTGATAACTTTGTTTGATATTGCGATGAGTAAATGCCATAAACAGACCCTCAAACATTTAAACATGCAGTTTCATCAAAGTGGTGGAAATCCTAGATTCAGATTATCACAAAAATACCTGCTGAATACCTGTTTGCTTTCATGGTTTCCTTTGGCTTGTAAACTGGGAATTTATAGTGTTGTTTGTATGAAATGAAGAAATATAGTTTTTGTTTTCATCCATGCTTTTATGTTGTGGCTATTTATTTTCTGTGTTTTGGTAATTGGTTGATTAGTATGGGAGCTCTATAATAACCATGTTCCTATCTAGTCCTGCTCCTTTCTGCTCTGTGCTCCAATAACAGTTGAGCAAGGTTTGGTCAACTTCTTCCTTCCCTGTGTGTGTGTGTGTGTGTGTGTGTGTGTGTGTGTGTGTGTGTGTGTGTGTGTGTGTGTGTGTGTGTGTGTGTGTGTGTGTGTGTGTGTGTGTGTGTGTGTGTGTGTGTGTGTGTGTGTGTGTATGTATGTATATACGTATATACGCTCAGATCCTCACGCTGCCCATTTTTCCTGCTTCTAACACATCAACTCTGAGGACCAAATGTTCACTGTCTGCCTGATATACCCCCCCACTGACAGGAGCCCTGACACCCAGATAATCAGTGTTACTGGCAGTGTTTTACAGTGTTAGGGCTGATCGGTGTTAGTTTTATCTAATGTGGTTTTCTTTTCAACATAGATTAACCTAGCACACAGCATATGTAAGTACAGGAATGGAGGAAGTTGAAGGTTCTGGCCGAGACTTGCTCAACTCTCAACTGTGATTGGAGCACAGAGCAACAAAGGGCGAGGCTTATGAAGGGTCAGTAGAGCCTAGGGTCATTTTGCTAATGTTTGTAGTGTCTGTGTGAACAACTTGTTCTCATTTCCAGCATGAATGAAATTCCAGTTTGAGATTTCAGCAGCACTTTAGAGGTGTAAAACACCTGAGAAATGTTGCTGAAATAGAGAGACTGAATGTCTTCACTCAGAATAGCAGATATGTACGTCAGGAGTTGTTTTTAAGAGCAGCAGGAGGTGTTCTGACGGCTGGTGCAGCCACAGCACTGTGATGAAAACAGCGCAGGATAGGGATTTGCTCGGATTGAGATTCAAGGCCGATCCGTTCGCCAGGAGTCGTGGAAATCCACCCACAGGTTTTCAGCTGCTTGTAAATTCAGTGAAGGTGCGGGGCCGAAGGTGAGCCGTTGGTTTTGTTCTCCAGCGGTTTTGCGGCTGCAGCATCAGGAGGAGAGAGAGCAGAGTTGTGGTTTTTGTTGTTTCTGGAAGGAGCCACGAGTGAGTGCCGACCTCCAACAGCAGCAGGGAGGAATGAGACTGATGACAGCTCAGATTTAACACCTCTCTCTCTCTCTCTCTCTCTCTCTCTCTCTCTCTCTCTCTCTCTCTCTCTCTCTCTCTCTCTCAGGTTTCCTGTCTCAGCCATATTGCTGCTAACTATCTGAACGCAGGGAAGGAGGCGAGGCGCTGGGGGACGGCCCACGAGAGCATCGTACCTTATCAGGTAACTCCCCGAACGGCCCTCTTGCCGTCCCTGTTTAAAGCGCACAAATACACAGAGGAGGTGTTTATATTAAAGAGCGATTCAGCAGTAAGTTATATCTGTAAAACCCACAGTGACACATACTGCACACCACAGTATTAAAGCTATAATGTTTAACATTTCCTTATTAAACAGTGTATAAACTCTAGAGCTATGTTCTGTATTTAGTTGATTCAATCAATAATCTATAATCAGTGGCGTCATATCCCCTTTGTGCCTGCGTTAGCGTTGTGTTTGTCTGCCAGAAGCTGTCAGACATTGACTGTTTATCCAGTTTGGACCAGGGAATGTAATAGTGTTTTGAAAAGGGCTTGAAAAATGTCGACTTATTCTTTAACTGTTAAAAAACATAAATATAAATGTTGTATAACAGAACTGCAATAGTTAAACGTGCTGTTGGGAAACAATACGAATAAACTGTTTGAGAGTCGTGGGACATTTCGGGGGAAAAGTCCTGAAAGTTGACGTCAGTGTTCATGGGAATAAGCGAGTGGGAGGCTCAGGGAGACGCAGACAGACAGACAATTATAAAACAATTAGAGACGATTAGTGTCAGTTTGGATGTTTTAATGTTGCTGTGTCACACTGTTTCCTGTATGGAAGTGATTTCCTGTCCGCTCTCTGTCTCCTCATATACCACCACAGTCAACACTTCTATCAAACCATTTTATCTATAGTTTGTATTAAAGAGCTCTTCCACACTGAAATTTTCTGCTTTTTTTTAGATGTAAACTGACTTATATGACACATCAATGCTGCTGTTGATATCCACATTATCTAATTTGATAATTCATAAAAGTTATGAAGTAGACAGACAGACACATACCGCTAGCATAGCTACAACACAGCCACTAGCTTATCTACAAACAGTGTGAATGTGGTTCTAGTGACTGTAAAAGCTCCAGCAGACTCTGTGTTTCCAGTACGGACAGTGAGAGTCTAACAACAGCTGCTCATTAGCTCTGTTAGCACTGTTAGCTCTGTTAGCTCTGAATACCAGCTTGCTGTTCCTGCTACACTTCTGTGGTCAGTCTGTCAATCCCTGTGTTTGCTGTGGAGGCCATGCCCCCTAAAGTTTTTAAATTAGCTGAGAGGGAGGAACTAGTAGAGCTGTGGACATGTTGATCCTGGTCCAGTATCCAACTGATACAGTGTGATCCAGCAGTGCACAAACACTGAGAATGGACTTAAAGACATTTGCACATTACATTGATTGTGCAATTTGTAATGAGGTAGAAGCAGTAGATGACTTTTGAAGGGTTTTAATGTGGAAATTGTATTGTGGGAAAAACATATCAGACACACATTATTGTTCTAGTACACGTCCCAATACATGTCTGAAAGGGGGATCTTTACATAACCAAATTACATGAATCTGAAATATATAATCATTTAGATTTTGAGTTCCCTGTTTTAAAAAATAAAATACGTATAAATTTGGTAATTAAATCCTCCTCGTTTCTCTTTCTATTGTCCCATTTTTACGTTAATTAAAAGCATAAGAGACTCAAATAAAACACATTGCTCTTCTCCCTCGGCGTCTCTGTGGTGTTGTTAATTATCTCTTTTCTGCACGGCACGAAGATTCAAAGCACACTGAGGCGTCGGTTGGATTTTTCACAATAAGAGCTGTAGAGGATCACAAATGAAACCACACAGGAAATTTTAAAAGGAAAATATGTAACTAAAGCAGATTTAATACAAAATTAAAGCTGCAAGCAGCGATGGACGGGACCTTGCACTCCATGCAACTCGGGGCGCGCTCCGGCCGCGTCATGTGCCGTTGTAACACGTGCGGACCACGACATGAAAATCTCACGTAAATCAGCTAAAAATTGCCACGCAGCACTTACTTCCTGTTGCCACTAGGTAGCGCTTTCACTATGTGTTCAGGGCGGGACTCTTATCAGACATGTGAAGTTTGGAGCCAATTGGACAATGTACACTCAAGTTATAGCAACTTTGTGTGTTCTGGCGGTACATCAAAGTTTGACGCCACGCCACGGACACGCCCTGTAACAAAAACTCACCACAATCAAGAAATATCATCAAGAACATGTTTTCCATTTTCTGACTAGATTTCAGCTTGATCTGATCATCCTACTAGGAGTAGAACATGGAAGTATAAAAAAATTACATTTCCTTTTACCACTAGGTGGCGCTCTCACTATTACTGAATATTATCACATAGGCATGTTCGGGGCGGGACTCTTATCAGACATGTGAAGTTTGGATTCGATTGGACAATGTACACTCAAGTTATAGCAAATTCGTGTTTTGTGGCGGTACATCAAAATTTCCTGCCACGCTACAGACACGCCCCCTCACCACAGTCAACACATATCATCAACAATGTGTTTTGCATTTTATAAGTAAATTTCAGCTGGATCTGATCATCCTGCTAGGAGTAGAACATGAAAGTATAAAACGTGATACTTCCTGTTGCCACTAGGTGGCGCTCTGACTATTACTGAATGTTATCACATTGACGTGTTCAGGGCGGGACTCTTATCAAACTTGTGAAGTTTCGTTGCAGTCGGATCATGTACGCAGAAGTTATGAAGAATCCCTCTTTCATGGCGAAGGTTTGAAATTGGATGCCACGGGACGCCACGCCACGGGCACAATGTTGGACGAAACAAACTGACTGCACTGACCAATTCTGAAGTAGATCCAATAGAACCTGTAGGAGGAGTTAGTTAAAATAGAAGCCCAAAAAGTCTAAATGACCACAAATTGAAATATCAGACTTCCTGTGGGTTTTGGGGCATGGGTCCAAGAGGCTTTTCTGCTTCTTTCATCATGATACACATGCGTAGCAATTTTCGTACATGTGGGCCTTACGTGTCTTGGGGGCTGATTCTGGGGGGCGTGGCTTAGATGTTTGGCGGCGCCCGTGCACGGGGACAATGTCATATCGGTATTTTTGCTACGTTTGAATTTTGTGCAAATTTTCATGGCATTTTGAGAATGTTGCGGGGGCCAAATATGCGGTCGAAGTCCCAGAGGTATGATAATAATTCCTAGAGGAACAATAGGGTCCTTGCACTTGTTAGTGCTCGGTCCCTAATTAATATTCTGCTCTTCTGTTCTGAGCACCCAGTCCTGGGCACATCCAGGCTAACACTAGCTAACAGCGGCTCCATTTGGCAGCAAGGACTTTACTGTCCATCAGGAAACTCTGAATAACAGACAGCTGAAGCTGAGCAGCTGAAGGACATCAAAAAGAAAAAGACAAACCTTTTCTCAATAAAATAATCAAAATAAAGAGTGAAAGCGTTACACACTTGTTCCGACCCCCAAACCAAAAGTTACACAGTGCAAGATCAGGAGTACAGACGAGGCTCCTATGCTAGTTTAAACCCCCCCCGTCCGGGTGCAGATAATAGGACTGCTAACTGGCTAATAGGAGCTAGCACAGTTAGCATATGCAGCAGTGATGAAGAAAAGAAGATTTATTAATCATCAACAGGGAAACTCTTTGTTCTCTCAGTGTTGTTTTACTGAGTACAGACACACACGGGGCTCCATGCTGAGGTCTCGGTCCCTGCAGAGAGAGCTGACCTTGTTTTTGTTTCTCTGCAAAGTGCGTCGACTGAGACTCCCCTTGGTTCAGTGGACTATTCAGGGGCAACCCTGGTTTTAAGAATACAGAAATGTTCTTCCTTTTTATGTAACACACACACAAACTCAGTAACACAAACTGTGTAATGTTCAATAAACAGAGTAAAGCAATCAGAGGTTGCTAACAGTCAGAGTCGTGTTAATTGTCAGACTGGATCCAACCGGAGTCTGCTTCACATTACTGACTCTGAGCCTGAGGGACATTTTATTTTCATAACTTACATGTGCACATCAAACACACACACACACACACACACACACACACACACACACACACACACACAGATAAACTGTCACCTCCTCCTGACGCTGCGCTCCATCCGCCCGGCGTGAACGTGGCGGCGGCTTCATTCTTGTGGTCGACGTCTCTCGGCAGGCGCGGCCTTAGTGTTATACATCTTATCCGACGCTCCGATCTAATCCTCGTGTGAACCGCCTTACTCCCCCCTCCCCCGACCCCCCCGGGCGCCAGAGATAAAAGCGCAGCAGACGGGTTCTTCGGAAATCTTGACAGTCGAAACAACAGAATTATTGGTGTCTTGTGGTTGCGGCTTCGCGAGGAAGATATTAGAGCCGAAGAAGTCATCCGTCCTCGCTTTTAAAGTTCACATCTGATTTCTGAAACGGGTCCATTCAGATGTCCCAAAACGGAGACGTCCACCGTGTCAAAGACGAGACACGAGAGAAAGAGACGCTGCTGTCAGGAAGGAAGAGTTCAAAGTAAAATCTGATCTCTCTGTTGACAGAACAAATTCAAATTTCAGATCTTCCTCCAACCTTTGCCTTTATTTTTGTGTTTCTTTAATTGAATATGAAGGGGTTAGTTTAGATTGATACAAAACAGCTAATCTTGCGACTGCTCTAGGTCAAATTGCCCCCCCAGCATACTCTCCTTTATTATCTGTTTTCTAAATGGGACAATAATTTACTACACTGCAAAACCTGACGAGTTACTTTTACTCAAATTGTTTGAGGAATCCGATTACATTTATTACTGCCAACACTGCCAAAGTAAGTATTTATTGTCAAGGTAACTTCAGTAAATCAGTTAATAACAAAAATGTACTAACTCTAAAAGTTTATTAACTCAGATAAATGAATCATGAAAGATATTTGAGTTGAAGTCACTCAAGTATTTATTGTTAAGGTAACTTGGCTAAATTAAGTTAATTGTACTAATTTCATTCAGTTAATCGATGTTAAATTTACTACAAGCTATGATAAAAACATTTTATAGTTTTTATTTATTTATAGTATTTTGAGAACTACATTTTGTTAGCTTACTTCCTTTTGTAAAATATGTTGTTAATGAACATCATGCTGTATGGAAGAAGACTGAAACTAGAGACTGAGACCACAAACTCATCAGGAAACTGTTTACTGAGCTCATTAATCAATTTCTCCATAAGACTCTGCCCCCTGCTGACAGTTAGAGACACTGCAGGCTTATCACACTGATTATATCAGTGGATTAAAATGTGTGTTAAATCCAAAACTATGAGCTAAAAAGGCTAAAAGGTTCTGTGGAGCTGCAGAGTTAAGATGCTCAGAGGTAAATGAAACATCAAGGTCAGCAGCTTGAGTCCTTTGACAGTTTAGTTGGGGGTCGCTGTGGTTTCAAATTGGCCTTCCAGCCAGCAGGGGGCAGAAGCCGCCCCGCTGCGACCCGACCGCACTGCCTGCCCTCTCTGAGGACTGTTTGGGGTTTCGTGGATGAACATCCCCTCGCAGTCCCCCTGTGGACTGCGTTACCCACAACTCCCCAAGGCTGGGGATGAAAGGGAGGCGGCGGTTGGAGCTGAGCGCCGAGCGCAGTGTGACTAAAGGGTTAGCGGTCTGAATACACACATACAGCAGTGGGATGTGGTCGCTGGTGTGTGTGCGTGTGATGTAAGACAGCAGTTCTCGTCCGCCTTTCATGTGGCGACGGGTTTTTATTACAAGCAATTGTGAGAGAGAAATAGGAAGAGGAGGCGAAAGTACAGAAAGAGGAAGAAGAAAATTAGGGAGGAAGAAAAGAAAGATGACTCGGGGGAAGGAAAGAGGAGGAGGAGGAGGAGGAAGACCAAAGATAAAGAAGTGAAGGAAGGACAGCTGGCCTTTTACACTGGGTTCCTCAGGCGTGCTTCAGCTTATTAAACTCATTTTAAAACTCATGTGGGACTCAGATGAACCTCCGTCCTCTCACCCTCCAACACTCAGAACCTCCTATTTAATTAGAGTAAATTTCATATCTACCTGCTGGGAAGAATCAGCTTAATAAAAATCATCATAATCCTCAAAGTTAACAACAGAAAGTCAGCGTCTCTGCTGCGTCTCTGCTGCGTCTCTGCTGCGTCTCCACTTCCCACTGCAGCCTGTAAAAGTACAGCGTGTAATAACTGGAGTCGCACCAGGATCACAGATACTTTACAGCATCGGTTTCTTTCTTTTTCTGTTATCTTTTCTGTATTTAATGTTTGTATTTTATTGTACTGCAGCGTTGTGCATTCACTTTTTAAAATTAATTATGTATTATTTCATAATTGTGAGATAATTTTTCATAATAAAAAAATTATGTTCTGTTTTTTGTAATTCTATTCTCTTTCTAGTCTTTTGTCTGAGCTTATTTTTATAATAAAGCAAATTATGCAGTTTTTCTGAATTAACGATTTATTATCTCATTATTCTGAGATCATTTTTCATATTAAAACAGACTCTGTTGTTCTGAAAGAGATATCTCCTGCAGGTTCATAATCTGTTTTTTTCAGAAAAATCAAGACAAATGTTTTTTCTTCCCGAGGTCCCTGATGGGAGTTCATTACAACTGAAGACATTTCTGTGTCTGTAGTTGTTGTGTTTGAATTTAAAAAGTCCTGAATCAGTCTGAAAGCTGATGGTTTCATCTCGTCTCTGTTTCAGGGCTTTAAAACCAAAGATGGACACATTGTCGTGGCTGCAGGAAACGACAAACAGTTTGTCAAAGTCTGTCAAGTAAGTTTAACTTTGAAATGAAATATTGTTGTATTATGTTGCTGTTGTGATCAGTATTTGTCCCAAAAACGTCCAAATGTTGTTTATTGTAATATTATCATACAGCGCCACATGGGTATTTTTAAAGGAAAACTATATTCTATAACTAGAATCTATATTTATCTGCATCGAAATATCACCGTGCCTGTTCAGTGCCATTTCTGGAGAGTACGAGTGGGAAGACGTTGATGCTTGAAGGATGGACCACACAGTCCACCACACAGAGTCCACCACAGAGTCCACCACAGAGTCCACAACACAGAGTCCACAACACAGAGTCCACAACACAGAGTCCAACACAGAGTCCACCACAGAGTCCACCACAGAGTCCACCACAGAGTCCACAACACAGAGTCCACAACACAGAGTCCACAACACAGAGTCCACCACAGAGTCCACCACAGAGTCCACCACAGAGTCCACCACACAGAGTCCACCCCACAGAGTCCACCACAGAGTCCACCACAGAGTCCACCACAGAGTCCACCACAGAGTCCACAACACAGAGTCCACAACACAGAGTCCACAACACAGAGTCCAACACAGAGTCCACAACACAGAGTCCACAACACAGAGTCCACAACACAGAGTCCAACACAGAGTCCACAACACAGAGTCCAACACAGAGTCCAACACAGAGTCCAACACAGAGTCCACAACACAGAGTCCACACCACAGAGTCCACACCACAGAGTCCACACCACAGAGTCCACACCACAGAGTCCACCACACAGAGTCCACCACACAGAGTCCACAACACAGAGTCCAAAGTAACAGCTAACATAAATGCTAAGTTAGTGGAACATATTGTCTGATTGTGCTGTTACCTGGATAACGTTAGCTTCTTTGTTAACACAGATAAATTGGGTGCTATGTGGTGTTGGCTGATTTGTAGACGGCGAACTAGTTAGTAGCAACGGTCCAAATAAAATATAGGAACATTGCAGATAGTAACGTTATTCTAAATATGACTGTCAGTTGTTTTACAGCGTTGTTTGTCACTGATGCCCAGGATGAGCGGCCACCGGTGGCAATGTTAGCTACAGTTTAATGTTACATACAGAAGCTTTAAACTCTGTTGTTGTTTGCAGGTTCTGCAGCTGATGGAGCTCACAGATGAACCAAAATACAAAACCAACCAGCTCAGGGTCCAAAACCGCAAACAACTGCTGCACACACTGTCACAGAGGTACACACACACACACACACACACACACACACACACACACACACTACAAAATTAATCTTTGATTATTTTACCAGGATAATCTGTGTCAGAAACTTCTCTCCACGCAGTTCTGAAAACATAAAACCAAAATCATCCTTTAACACATCTGTTTAAAAATGGTTTGGTGATATTATTATCTGTTTTAATGCTTAATAAGTGGCTATAATTTATATTTTTATACTAACATTGTATTCAATGATAATATGACATGTTGTGCGTATCTGGTGGTGACTCATCAGCTGAATGTACAGCTGTCCTCGGCTTTACGGAGCTTTAAAGTGACTTTTAGCTCATTGTTTATCTGTTTATAGCAAGAAAGGCTGTAAAAAGCTGCCGTACACAACCTGCTCAGCAGCGAACGGTGAACATAGTGGAGCTCTCAGCTGCTAAAGAGGCAGATATTTCCCTCAGGAGTTGTTGGAGACCAAAAATAGAGCTAAAAATGGAAATTGGACTCCTCAGGTGACACAAATACATTGTCTCTGTCAGGTTTCTGCAGGAGAAGACGGCTGATTGGCTGAGGAGGTTTGAGGGCTCAGGTGTTCCTGTTGGACCAATCAACAACATCCAGGAAGTGTTCTCCGATCCACAGGTCAGTCGGCCGATGGATGTTTCATAAGATACGAAACTTTATCCACTTAATGAAATGCCGTTACACATTCATTAATGTCCTTATTTGAGTGGAAACGTTTGTCCCAGTGCGTTGGTTGAAAATAACATTTTGGTGTTTGCAGACGGAGATTATGTATGAGTTTATTTGCATATAGAGCGGGGGGGAGTTACTAACGGTCCACTGTGATCAGACCAGCTCTAAACCGGCTCAGTGAGTCACAAAACCTCCACACAGTCCTTCAGGAGATAAACGCACACGTTCATTACTGAACCGGTCCAACTCAAACAGAGTCAGGGTGCTGTTTGTGCATGTTGGCTCACTGGAAAGACTGCTGCACTAAATGGAACGGAACCTTAATTAGTATCACCTGTGTTTACCCTACTGTTTCGTGTCAGCTGCTGTGAAAAAGGTTAATTCAGAAAGCGGATTGTTCTGTCCTGGTTTGTCAAGGAAAGGAAAAGAGAAAAACCCCAATCAGTCCAGGACTTCTCGACAATGACGTGCAGTCTGGCTCCATTTTAAAGATTTTCAGCTAATATACATAATACATTTAATAACGATAATAATTACTTTAGTTTAGACGTTATGATGAGAAATGCAGCAGGAATTTAAAGCCTGTTCGTTGTGAATCAAACTGCGCACTTTGATCGAGTATTCTACAACACTAAATGTGTTTCCATAAATGAAATCGTTAATTCTTTATTGGATAGTGACAGCGGGAGATTGGCAGGTAATGGGGGAGAGAGGGGATGACACACAGCAAAGGGCCACAGGTGGGATTCGAACCCATGGCTAGACTACTCTACGTCCGCCACCCCCCTCTCTTCGCCTGTCCTTTCAAAATAAAAGCATAGAAAGTCCAAAAATATTTGAGTCGACTATTAAATCAATATTTGTATTTGAGAAGGACGCAGTTGCACTTGAATGTAAGGCAGCTAGCTGGTGTAAAACTGGCTCCACTCGGACGACGTGCTCGTAGGACGCGGAGCCACACAACTGTAGTCTCCTGGTTGAAGAACACACCTGAAGTGAACTCGGTCCATCTGCTGGTGTGTGTGCGCGTGTGTGTGTGTGTGTGTGTCTCTCCATATGGATTAAAAACAGATTAGTCACTGCTCACACATTACACAACTCAGCATGTTACGATAACACACAGGTCTCATTACTGTGTGTGTGTGTGTGTGGAGAACAAAGCAACAGGACATATGGCCTGTGTGTGTGTGTGTGTGTGTGTGTGGTGTGTGTGTGTGTGTGTGTGTGTGTGTGTGTGTGTGTGTGTGTGTGTGTGATGAAGTAAATGTTGAATCACACAGCGAGCCTCTCTCTCGTCTTTCTGTCTTTACGTCGTCGCCCTCTTCCCTCTCTTTCTCTACAAACGCTCTGAGTAGCGGGCGAGCTAGCGGGCCAGTAGTTATCTGCCTCCGTCCAATCAGACATGAGGACCAGTCAGCTCCCAGTGACTCCACTGTGGTGGACAGTCTGACAGACGGACTCTCAGTGACGACACTCTTTGGGCTCATCACCACTCGTCCTTTCGAGAGTCTCGTATCCAGATGAGATTTAAGACTCTTAAGTGTCTCTGATGATCTCAGATCTGATCACAACTGATCTTTGTTTTTGTCCAATCGCTGCAAATTCAATCAATAGACCACAAAATGTTTCCCTCTGGCACAAGTTGCCTTCCATTTTTTATGAATTACACAAGAAAATTGCAATGATTTTTTGCAATTTCATCACATAAAAATGCCTCAAAACATCACAACAAGGCCGCAACAATCCCCCAAATCCTGAACTGAATCGTTTTCTGGGCTAGCTGTAAATCATCCTCAGTACTCCTCCAGTCCAGAAGAAGGTGAAGACAAGAAGAAGAACAGTTTAGTTACAGTTAGCTAACAGCTATCATAAGCTAACATATACACATGAATGAATCGTATTTATGAATGACTCGCCTCTCGCCCGTACAGATGAAAACACGTCTCATTTCAGTGCTTTAGCTGCTGTTATCACAGAGGAGACCTGTCTGTCAGATCACATCTCCAGTTATGTTGTACCCCTACAATGTATGCCAAACAATATACACACCACTTTATCAGTGATTTGGGTGAAACTGGACGTTTCCTCCGGCTGCTCTGCATCAACTCTGCTAACTGCTAATCGAGCTGCCATTAGCGTTAGCAACTGAACGGGGCTCAGCAGCCTTCCAGTGAACACAACTTCTGAGACAGACAGAGGACAGTGTGATGACAGCGGTACTGAGGTGATTTATGGAGTTTCCAGATGGACTTGTTAGGTGCCGTTTGCTGATTAGTTTGGGCAGCTAACGTTAGGGGGCTTTGACCTTTGGCTTGGCAGGGATGTGATGATTATAACGATAAAAGAAAGATAAAAAGGGGATTTCATTTTTAGGTATTAACCGGAGTGTAAAAAAAAAAGTTGGCGTGTGTATCATATACAACATGTACAAGACAAACATGTGACTCCAGTCCTTCCTCTCTGTGTGCTGTCGCTGAATGTTCTGTGGCTTTGAACAAGTTTTATTTGAATGTGTGTTTTGAGGACAACAGCTCCCATCACCACCTGGCTCATATAAAAGCTATGACTCAGTGTGTGTGTGTGTCAGACCAGCCCATCTGCCTCTATCATCCTGCTGCACCAACTTGTTCTCAACTAAGTTTGGACACACTCTCCACTCCGCTCACTTACACCTGTGGGTGCTGACTGATGATACACGTTTCCACACATCTGCCACTAACAGACAGACCGTCAGCGCCCCCCCCCCACTGAGCAATTAAAACCTTGCGTTGTCAGTCGAAACGTCAGAAACTTCACACCGGATCCTGCACTCTGCTGCAGAGTTCCTCTCCTGTGATTCAACGTGTGGAGCAGGACAGACGCTCTGTGTGGGGTGATGTTATTACTGAGCTACAACCTGGATGCACACAGATGATCTTAGATATCAGTAAAGGTATCAAATAATCTGTGAGAACCATCTTCAGACAGACTCCATATTCTCTGACTGTTTTTAAATCTATAATCTGTAACATGTCCTCATTAAATATTGTAGAAACTCTGGCTTTATGTTATGCTATATGTAGTGGAGTTATGTTCTTCCATTATCCTAAATGTTTCCAACAATGTTCAAACTCAGACAATTCTGTAATTTTATTCAGGTAACGCTGCGTTTCACCGGTCGCCTGTCGATGGCGTCATATCCCCTTTGTGCCTGCGTCAGCGTTGTGGTTGTCTGCCAGAAGCTGTCATACATTGACTGTTGATCCAGTCTGAAGCCACATTGTTACCATCCACTGATTAGATCTTGGTGCTTTTTAACTCTAGATTTGAACCGGATGAAGGATTTTAGTCATCGGACGTCTGGATCTTAAGTTATCAGAGAAACAAGCTGAGCTAACGTTAGCAGCAGCTCGGCTTGCAGCCCCTCCGGGACGTCCTGTGTCTGCCCAACAGCGTGGGAGAAGCAGTGATTGTTAAGGTGGAACTGCTTCAGACCTCTGTGGACAGTTTTAGTTTGAATAAAGTGCGATTAATGATCTGCGAGGTAAAATTTGTGCTTTTATCAATGGAGTCTGGTGGGCTGTAGTGCTCACTCATTTGTTTCGGTCTGAGATGCGGTGCTCTAGTGCGACATCTAGTCTGAAAGTAGAACTGTGGGTTCAGTCCAACAGAAGGTCATGTTGACTCTACTGATGATCTCTAAAGTGATTTTTCCTTTTAAACTGACTGAGTTGAGTTTCTTGAAAATGTAAACCTCAGGATTCGTCCATCAGCGTGCGAGCTAGCGTGACGACACATGAGATCATCCTCCGTAAAGCGCATTAGGTTAAATACCTTGCTCAAGGGTGCCTCGCCTATTACTAGAGTGCTGACAGCAGCTCTTGGCTGTATTTCTTTTCTTCCCATAATTGCTTGCATCTCTGGCAGTAAATGTTTCCCACATGATGGCTCCAATTTACAGAAAAAAATTTGGGCTTCTGATTGAATTCAAGAGACTTTCCTTCACATCTTCCTCTTCTGTTTATACTGAGCATGCTGGGAAATAATAGCTGCCTCAGTATTTTGCTCGGCATGCATTCATTAGCATCCATTCACAGGCAGTAAACACATCAAACCACATCAGATCTCGTGTTACACAGACAGTAGATCACGTAGGAGTTTCACAAGGAGAGCTGCACCAGTCGGTTTATTTGTTCTACATGATTTTAGTTTGATGTCTGCCCCTTTTTTTATTTATTATTTTCCATGTTGGCATAAGTCTCTGGTTCAAACTACATGATATTAATCCTGATTTTCAACTCGCAGTTTTAGAGGTCGGCGACAAATGCCTCCAGATCAGAGGCAAATGTGTGCTTGCTCCCGTGAGGACGATCGCTGTTCAAAGACGCGATCAGAGAGCTCGCAGACGCCCAAAAAATATCTCTCGGCATGAATATATGGTGGTATTGGATGCAACAAACAACAAGCCAATGAGAGCAGTCTCTCTCCAGGACCAGACAGGAAGCGGAGAACCAGGTAGATACTCCACCAGGTAGGTAACAGCCAAAAAAACTCCTCAGAAAGCTTCACTACAGACAGTGAATGAACAGCGTTCTGAGTCAGTGTTCAGAGTTTATCTGATCCACCAACCAGCTCTGATTTTAGTGAGAATACCGATTATTATTGAAACACACCACACTGTGGCCATCCGTATGTGGACGCCCCTGTGTTCAGGGCCACCTGCAGGGCTTTTCCAATTCAAATCAAACCATGCCCCGTTGATTTTACATTTCCATCACCAGTTTAAACTCTCCGAGTTGTGCCCACATCATATGGGATCTGATCTGAGTTGCTGTTGGCAGCAGAGGCTCTTGTAAGCAAGCTACTTTATGACCACAAAATGAGCATAACTACTTAAATTTAACATAAAGTTGTATAGGAGTGAACTGAAATCAATGCTGTCTGTGTGTGACGTCGCAGAGCTGCAG